TGCCGCCGGAGGCGTTGGCTGCCGGGGCCGTCTCCGGGTGCGGGTATGTCCCTCCGGGTCTGCTCTCAGCACATGCAGCACGAAGCATCCCCCAAAGCAAACCCCTGACCTCCGGGCTGAGCGGCCGGGCTGGGCGCGGGGATGCTGGCGGAGGGACAGGAGATGTCCACACCACTCCGGCTGGGAGGACAAACACAGAGCCCGTATTCTCCAGGGCTTCCACCAGGGCTCACGCAGAAAGAAAAGCTGCTTTATGCAGCTGAGAAACTTCTCATCCACCCACCATCGCTTCTGCTCCGGCCCTTGCCTCTGCATCCTGACCTGACCTCCTCTTGGCGGGCGCGCACCAGCCGTCGAAGACTTTGTGCTCCGGTCTGGTCTCTGAAACGCCTTGTACGTCTGCGGGCAGACACCTCTGCATCACCTAAAAGCCATCGGGGATTTGCATGCAGGAGAGGAAGAAAAACAACAAAAAAAATGCGGCCTTGCTCTTTCATTCACATATTTATTAGGTGGACAGATCATTTGTGGTCAGATGGGCTTCGGGCTTTACAAATGGGGATATTTATAAGGCACGGAGCACGGCGGAGTTGTTCTGCATGTGCGTCCAAGTCATTCCTTCCCCAGCACAAGGTATAATGTTGCCTTTGTTCGGCTGCCTCCGACAGCCCGGCACAGCAAAGCGCGCCGTGCCGCTCGGCTGGGCCCCTCCGCCGTGCACCACGCAGCCCTGCATGCTCGCCGTTTAAATAGCGCACAGTCCCGGCGCGTCCCGGCTCTTTCCACACACACCGTGGCCCCGGCAACTGCCGCAATAAATCAATAGGAAAATAGAGGCTGCCAGTTAGACTAAACAAGTGCATTTGCAAGGATTGCTAACCCTCATTAATCACTCTGACAGTCCTAAAAACACATTTCCCCTTTAATGACTGTATTTGGATAATCAGAGCTTTTTCCTCGCGGCACGGGGTGACTGACGGCGGGTATGATTGTGGCGAGTGCCGGCACTGGGGTCACCGGCGAGTCAAGCACTGGAGGTCCCCGGCAGCTCGGGGCGAGCGGGAGAAGTTGCTGTTGTGCAATAGGGAGGGGAGCTGCCGGTACAGCCCCAAACCCACCGTCCCTGTGTCCATCACCCACCTGTGTTATCGCAGCCCCTGCCCTCCCACCCCAAACCACCCCCTGCCAGCTGGGTTTGAAAGGGCCTTTTTTTTGTCGCTCCGCGTTCCCTTTAGGTGACTTTTGCCTCCTGGAGAGGTTTGAAACCTCGCACATTTTTCTGTATAAATGATGCAACACATTAACGCACAGCACATTATGAAAATGGTAATTCAAACCCATACAACTCTAAATTAAGCCATACATTATCCGACCCACTCAGCCATATATTTTGCAGAAAGACAGGATTGAATCAAATCAAACCGAAACTGTGGAGTGCAGGTTGTTAGACAGAATGATTAATAAAGTGCATCCCAGTGCTCTTATTGTAAAATGAATTCTGCAGTAACCTGGGCATACATTAGATAGGGAGTTATTTAATATATTGGCAACACAATCACTCCCTAGCAGATAAAGCCCCCGAGTGCCGACTGCTATCAGATGATACTTTGCGGTGTTTACACAGTCTGGCCCCGGTGCTGCAGTCTTTAGGGAGGGGAAAAAAATACTCCTCGGGGAACATTCTGCACGGCAGGACGTATCTGAGCAGCATCCAGCTCCCACCGTTGGTGGAAGGTGCATGGGCTCGGTTTTGGAGCTGTGAGCATCCTGGCATGAGAAAGCCTTTGTGGGGAGAGGGGAGATGGACACTTGCTGTAAGGGATGGACCCTGCTGTAAGGGGAGGATGCACCCGCCAGCTTGCCCTGCTCTGGGAGAAGGGCTCCGGCAGGACGGCGGGCTGTGCAGGCAGCGCCTGCCCGCAAGCCCCTCGCCCGTGCTGATCCGCTGCAGCTACTTGCCGGCTGGCACACGGCACGACCCCGGCAGCCCCGAGACCCGGTCTCGGCTGTGCCAGGCTACTGTGCCTCGTGCGCATCCGCGGGCATCACGGCATCGCCCTCTCTCCCCGCGGCACGAGGGTCTCCAGCGGCACTGGCAACCGAGACACCTGGCTACAGTCAGGGAGAAGCACGGTGGAACAGAATGCCGTGGCAGGGACCCGCGACAAGCACGGCATTTTGGAGCTGCAGCTGAGGAGCCGTGATTTATGCTGGGGACCGGTGGCACTTGAGTGAGGCCGACACCGGGCAGCATCACCGGCAGGAGTGGGGGCCACATCCAGGGAGCAGCGATGCTCCTGAGGGGCAGCGGGGCCCGGCATGCCTTCAAATGCCACTGTATAGCTCCGCAGCAGAGGGAACGGTAGCACAGGAGCTGCCCCACCGGTGCTCTGCCCACCGCCCCACGCCGCCCTGCTCCACGGGGAACATCGGCTGCAACGCCCAGAGCCAAAATGTTCAGCACCTAGCTGGGACATGGGGACGGGAGACACCGGCGCGGTCGCAGCAGCCCGGGCCCGGCACCCCTTTCCTGCCACTGCCCACCGGGCAGAGCAAACAGCCGCAGCAAAGCCCCTCTGCCTCGAACCCAGTCCTGCAAATGCCAGGCCCTCATCCTGCAAACATCCCGCCCCGAAGGAGCGGGGCCACCGCGGGCAGACCCCAGGCAGAGCTGGACACGAGCCACGTCCACAGCAGGGCAAGGGGTAGCCACGGACCCGCAAAACCTGCCTCCCCCCAGCCTTGGGGAGCTCGGGGATGGTGCTGCCCACCCCTCCGCCAGCCGAGGGGAGACCGGCCCCCGGCACCACCAGCCTCTCCCATTTCCAGCAGGAGACCCCCGGCCAGGGCCCTCCCCGCCGGCCGCACGCCTACGGCCACGCTCGCAGGAACGGGCAGAAAACTAAAAATCCCATTGGCAAAACCAGTCCCTGTTTCAAGCGCATTATTTTTCAGCTCAAAGAACACAAAGGAATTTAAACACAGGGCATAAGGCAATATAGAGAAGGCAATTAACTGGGATTAATTGCGTGACTCACCCAAAATGCAACAGGAGCAAAGCGCTCAACAGGAGAAAAAAGTGATGTGGGGCAACAGGAGCACGTGGGATTTCAAGGGGGAGCGGAGGCACGGCCGGGGGTCCCGCTGCAAAGGTTGGGCTGCTGCTGGAACAGAAGCCTGGGGAGGGCCCCTGCCTTGGGGCGTGGGGTGGGCAGACGGGCAGCAGCACGGGGCCC